AGGAAGATGACCTTGAGCAGGTCACCAATATCCTTGTCGTTGTTGACTACGGCGCCGACAGCGTTGATCAAGTGAATAATCTGCTTGGCCATCCAGTAGCCAGGAGCAGCCTTTCCACCAAAGATGGAGACTCTGGGCTGGAACTTCTTCCTCTCCTCAGGTGAGGCTGCCTTAAGGGTAAGATAGCGGTGGATGACACCGAAGATGTTCATCTGTTGGCGCTTGTACTCATGGATACGCTTGACCTGGACGTCAAAGAGAGCAGAGGGGTTGACATCGACGCCGGTGGTCTTTTTGATATGCTTGGCCAGGCGGACCTTGTTGGCGTACTTGATCTCGGCCCACTCCTTGCGGAAGTCCTTGTCGTCCTTGTAGTGCTCAATCTTGGCCAGCTCATTCAGATACTTGAGGTAGTTCTCGCTGCCGGTCTTGCTAGCAATGAGCTCGGAGAGGCGAGGGTTGGCCTGGTGGAGCCATCTGCGAGGAGTGATACCGTTGGTGACGTTGGTGAACTTGTCGGGGCCAAAGACCTCGACAAAGTCCTTGAAGATGGTGGTCTTGATGAGATCGGAGTGCAACTCGGCAACACCGTTGACCTTGTGAGAACCAACAATAGCCAAGTGAGCCATGCGGACCATCTTGGGCTGGGACTCCTCGATGATGGAAACGCGGGCAAGCATGTCGCGATTCTTGGGGAACTTGCGCTCGACGGTCTGGAGGAAGAACAGGTTGATGTCGTAGATGAGCTGGAGGTGGCGGGGCAGGAGATGTTGGAACAAGGGGACGGACCATTTCTCGAGAGCCTCGGGAAGGACGGTGTGGTTGGTATAACCGAAAGTGCTGGTGACAATGTTCCATGCCTCCTCCCAGTCAAGGCCCTCGAGATCCACAAGGATACGCTGGAGCTCGACAACAGCCAGAGTCGGGTGGGTGTCGTTGAGCTGGATGGCGACCTGGTCGGGGAACTCCTTCCATGCGCGCTTGGACTTCTTGAAACGACGGACAATGTCGTAGAGGGAAGCGGCAACCCAGAAGTATTGCTGCTTGAGACGAAGTTCCTTTCCGCGGTCGAGGTTGTCGTTGGGGTAGAGCACGGCGCTGATGGTCTCGGCACGTTGCTGGTCAGCGACCGAGTTCTCGTAGTCGCCGCTATTGAACTTTTGGAAGTCGAACTCTCCGCTGGCAGCCTTGCTGGACCACAGTCTCAAGTTGTTGGTCGAAGGGGTGGCATAGCCGGGAATGGGGACATCGTATGCGACAGCCTTGACGATCTCGCCGCCCTCCCAGGTAGCGATGGTCTTGCCGTTGTCATCAGTGCGCTTGGTGACATGGCCATAGAACTGGATATCGACGGTGACATCGTGACGAGGGAACTCCCAGGGGTTGAAGTCGAGCCAGTAGTCTGGCACCTCGACCTGGTAGCCGTCGATGATTTCCTGCTTGAAGATACCGTAGCGGTACCTGAGGCCGTAACCCCAGGCCGAGTAGTTGAGGGAAGCCAGACTGTCGAGGAAGCAGGCAGCGAGACGGCCGAGACCGCCGTTTCCGAGAGCAGCATCGTGTTCCTGGTCGATGACATCCTCGATTCTGAAGCCGAGGTCGGCGAGACCGGCCTTGGCCACGTCCTTTTGTCCGATGTTGAGCATGGCATTGTCGAGGGCACGGCCCATGAGGAACTCTAGGGAGAGATAGTAGACACGCTTGCTGTCGGCGAAGGTCTGGCGCTGCTGAGTGCGGTTCCACTCGAGAATGAGACGGTCACGGAAGGCCAGACTGCAGGCAGAGTAGGCGGCCTGTTCGTCGCAGTTGTACAAGCTGCGGGCAAGGGTGGTCTCGACATGGCGAACAACCTCCTTTTCGAAGCCGTCCTTGTCCTTGAAGCCGCTGGTCTGGTGTTCAAGCCAAGCCTTGCGCTGGGGCTCGGGGATGGAAGCTGGTTGAAGGCAGATGTTAGAGGTGGTCTATACATCGTGGAAACACTTGGGGGCGTCCTGTCATCCATACCTTCGACGGTCTTGATATCTCCAGCACCGAAGCCGGTAAGGGTTCTCTTGTGCTTGGGGCGAGAGACACCGGCAGGGGCAACACCTCCCTGGATATCGACGAGGGGAGCGCCAACGGATGGCCTCCTTTCTCTGAGGGGCACACGCTGTGTGGTAGTGGAGGCCATTGTGGGCGATGGGATGGAGGGGGTTGCTGGATAGGAGGATCAGAACGTCAGGAAAGCGTTCGTAGATGGAGAGAAAGAGAAGGGAGACCCAGTCCCTTGGGGACCGGGAGGTGATATAGCTATCAGAGCCATGATTGACATGCCATGCCATGCCATGACATCCGAAACGTATGATCCTATTCCTGGTCTGGTCCCTTGTCCGAGGTTGGGCTGACAGTGGTTCCCTCCAGCGGAAACATGGTTGGAAACAGACGACCAAGTGGGGCAGCACCACGTACCTTGATGGGCTAGATGCGCTTAGCGGCACTACCAAGTAAATCGACCCCGCGCAAAGCTACTGGAGCTTCCCGTACCTCTGCAGCTCTGCTGGCCAGCTGTTGGGCCCAGTGGAATGCTGCACCGTGACTGGTGCAGACCTGTTAGAGGATACGCGGGTTGTGTGAGTTTTTGGGTCTAGAATCGAGATCCTTTGATTCCTTTGTTCTTGTTGGCAAGAGGGTAAAGAAGTGGGGCGGATGGGATGAGAATTGTTTTCTGGTATTGTAAAAGGTCATGTGATGGTGTGATGAGAAAAGAATACAATGGACGGGATGACCGGGGCCAACAAGATGAGAGAGGAGGAGTGGGAAAAGAGATGGAGATATGGGATGTGATATCACTTATAAGGAGGCAGACGCCTCGAGGAGAACGAGAAAGGATCCCGAAGTACTCTCGAGTCGGGAGCGGGGGATGCCAGATTCAGCAGCACTTGCTTCCGTGGATTACCTCAACCCCCTCACACCGCAATGCTGTGATCTGTCAGTGTCAAAGCTGCCCGAGCTCTCGAGATGGATGGGTTGTAATGGATTGTCAAGCTCAATGGGTGGTGAAGAAGGGCGATGGACGGCAACCACCACTGCCCTGATGAGCTGCCCCTCTTCTCTTGCTGCAGCTTTCGTCAGTCTTGCTCTACCAGGCAACCTTTCTCATTGCTCTTTCCCTCTTTTCTGTCAACTGGTGTTTTCCGAGTTCTCATTGGTCTCTCCATCTTTCTTCTTTTCACTCTCTGCATGCATTTCTTTCTCTCCGCGGATGGGGACACGCTTCAACCCAGATTCATGGACGTATCAAAGTCGAACCCGTTCCCGCTTCCGAGTTAGGTAGCCCTGGGAACTGGAGCCCAACCGTCCTACCTACAGAGAATTGACCTTCAAGCCAACAATATGTCTTGATTTTGGCGTACCATCTGTCTGTCGGAATGGTTACTGCCCAAACACTTGGACAGTGCAGCTTGTCATGGACTGTCTTGGACGTTGAGTGATTGTGATTCGAGGTGCCCCCCTCCGAGTTGTGACCTGGCACGGCACGGCAGAGGTCTACTACCTTAGTAATGAGTCCCATCCGGGTCGGCGTGGATGGAATTGTTTGGAGTCGTGGTTCTCTCTTTCGATATGCGACTCGAAGAAAGAACGAGAAAGCCCCCGCCACCGTGAATCGTGACAGCCTCAGCGGGAGCAGAGGAGCCGCCTTCACGATGGCTTCGTCGTTTTGTCAAGGTTCAGCTCACCCCTGTCTAGCGCCTTCCCCGAGAAACTCCAACACCGACCCCACTTTCCACAACTGATAGTGGGGCTCTAGCTTGCCAAAGGAGGGGTTCCTTGTCCAATAGCTGTTTACCCCAATGATTGACATCATCGCCTTTGCAGCTCCTCGCAGCTCCAACGGTGCTTTGTGAAACCTCACCTCAACAACCTGGAAGGGGCAGTGCAGGAACGTTCACTGGCGACCGTGAGCAGTCATCTGCCAACCCTTCCTGATTCTGCAAGTCATTTTGCTGGCCTGAAACGACAAGAGCACGCCATTGCCGAATACTCCCTTATGCGGACGCGTCGGAAACAGCTTTCCTCAAAACACTCCGTCTTGCGCCCGTCACCAACCTCCCGCTTCTTCCACTTCGTACTTGTACTGCACTCGGCCCCGGACCCGACCGCAACATGGTGAGCTCATGTTCTCGGGTGAACACAATCGGCCTGCAACGGCGAGCGCTCTCCACGTGGCTTTTGCGGTCACCTGGTGTCATTAAGCCACTAAGCTCCTTCAACGTGGTTTCGGAATACTATCAATGCGAGCCTCTTCCATACCCTACCATCCACCCGCGACTACATTCCAAATATCAAGTCAACTTCCACCGTAACCCCAAGCGCCAACCAGCGTTGTCTACAAGATGCTGTGATTCCACAGCTCTGCCGTCCCTGAAGGAGGCCAGTCAGGGCCAGTTAGCCATCAAGGTTTCATCCAACAACCAGCGCAACTCCGAGTGGGGGTCACGACATGAGAAGATCAAGATCTTGGATATCATCCAGTTTCTTAGGTTCTCCCCAAGGTCACCAGCTTTTTTTCACGCCAGTGGCCGGCCACGTTGATGTCGTGGGGAATTTACTGACTACCATAGTTCACAGGTTTCTCAACTGCTTGCCTGCTCACCATCACGGCTGGGGCTTCTCCAAGAAACGAATCTGTCCATGATTGTCATTTCTCTGGTTAATCTACCCTCTCTGCAACGCACTAGTTTCCCCTGGCAGTTTGTCACAGGTTCTTTCAAACCCCTCTTCCCCGTTCTACCATTTGTGAATCTTCAGCTAGTATTCACCTCGTATCCTCCTTCAAAGCACCATTCAGGACAACGCTTCACCCACACGCCTCCGTCGCATCGGGATAATGGTTCAAGTACATCTAGGCAAGTTCAGGGTACGGTTCCTGGAGTCACATAACGGGGCTTACAAAATTACATCAGGGGATGAGTTGATGGTATTTCAGTATGGTAACGTACAGCCATGGCTCCAAGTGTCCCTTAGCTGTCGTTGCAGCCATCAGGGCGGTTAGACAGACACTGAGTGGTGCAGGTCCTGCCAATCAAGGTGTCATAAGACTTGCCTGACACCAGTCCATCACTTCCACCGCATGCCTCGAGGATAGCCTCCGCGCCACCACGGAGATGAAACCATTCGGCGTCCCATAAGTTGTCGGACCAGCTGTTGCAGCACTGCTTGCTACTAGTTTCGCGCTTGGGCCAGGCGCACACAGAGCGAGGGGACGTCGGGATCTTGCTGCCACTGACAAGCGCGCCGTCGAGCAAACCCATGCAGGAGGCAACACTCGCCAGGTGGTCACCCCAGCACTTGGTCCTGTTGGAACTGCAACGACGAGAAAGCCAGGGCGTCTCCAAGTCGGTAGTTGAGTTGGCTGTGCTGGCGGAGTCGGCATCACCGTACCTAGAGAGTTCATTTCTTAGAGACAGCCTTTTGGTTCAGCACAATCGAGTTAGACCCACCAGACCAACTGCATGCCGGCAGACTCAGTGATCTCAATGATCTTGAGTGCCCCAGGAATGTTAATCTCAGTGGCGCTGTAGCTGGAGGGAGCAGCGGGGGGGAGGGCGGCAAGGAAGGCCCCCGCGATGAGGGTCAGCTTGGCCAACATTTTGAGTTTGTTGTGTCCAAGGTAGGCGAGGTCAATATAAGAGAAGGAAGAAAAGATAAGGTAGGAGGAGGGATAAGGCCCTCCCTGCATGGAAACAAGAGTTGAGGACACATGTTTGGATTGATATGCAATGCAGGAATACTGTCCGCAAGGACTTGGGGGCGTTGATTTTTGGGATCCAAGGAAAGTGGGCATAATCTGCACACTTGAGGCGGCTTTGTACAAGAGCCCAAACCCTAATGCATCTGATACAGGATGTGGGCCATGTCTTGGATCGATCCTAAAAATCAATGCCCCAGGGCTTTGCGGTACAGTCAATGTTCAAGAGATGGACCGATGCTAACAATGCTTTGTTTTCAGAACACCTTGATGGGGATGCCTCTCGCCTCTGTATACTCTCCATCCCGCCACGGTCTTCCACTCGAGACTCCTTGCATAAATGCTGCTTCGGTCCTTCGGCTCACTAAGTCTTCCAACACCGGCCATGTTGAAATATCGCCAGTCTATAGTAATTGCACCTGGGTTGCGGCTTCTGTTGGCATCCAAGGTCCTATCCCGCGCCTTCCAAGTTCCTGACATGCAGGGAGCTTGACAATTGCCCCTGGTGTAGAACCTGGAGGAGTAAACAACTCCGAGGCGTCTCGGCCTTGTGCCTCTCCATACCTTCCTTTTCTCTCACCTCCCCCAGACTATGCCCTGCCTTTCTACCAACACGGCCATCACTAACATTTTCATCCGTAGTGTCCCCAGATCATCCGCCCGCCTCTCTTCCCGACTTCCCATCTCCGTTACCATTAACCTACGGACATTCCATACCTCCCAAAAACCCACAAACATAACCCCTCCAAACGGCGCCAATTTCCAACAACAACAAGATCAATTAATAAAGGGCGTGTGGCTCAGTTGGTAGAGCGTTCGCTTAGCATACCTCACGGATATGCGAAAGGTCCTGGGTTCGATTCCCAGCTCGTCCAAATTTTCTCGATCATCACCACCATCTTTGATGTTATCATTTCCACTTTTCTTTCTAGGGGCGTGTGGCTCAGTTGGTAGAGCGTTCGCTTAGCATACCTCACGGATTGCGAAAGGTCCTTGGGTTCGATTCCCAGCTCGTCCAAAACAAACTTTGGGAATGATGAGATGAGATGAGATAGTTCAGGATTCACTTTTTTTTGCTACCGTTTCCTTTTTGCTCGTTATGGGCTTTGGGGTTTTGTTTCGGCTTTTGCTATCGGTGATTCGGTGTCGGTGTCGGTCCGCCTAGTTCGGACGAGAAAAGCAAGCCACAAGGTAATGAAGTGGTCCGTGACATGTGTAAGTGGTGGGGGCGTTGAAGTTATTTTTGGCTATTAGAACCTCTATGCTTGTTTTGTCCGCGATACAGATGGGCTATATGTCGCGCTGGTGCATAACAGGATCGTTTCATGACTGATATTGATATGAATGCCCGTGTAGTGTATCAGCTTGCATATCTCTTGGATCTCCTCCACAAGTCAGCGCAGCTCTCCGAACTTTGCCAATCGCAACAAGCTAGGTAGCTTCGCGGTCCGTGGCGAGTCAGATAGTCAACTTGCTCCTTCCATGACCAGTTCCGTCAGGCGCCAGCGCTAGTGCTAGTGACAGGGCGGCAAAAGAATAAGGAAAAAGATGATAAAACGATGCAATATACGAAAGACGAAAAAAGAAGTAAGAACACATACGGAGAAGATTCAAACACGCACCGCAAAAAAAAAAAAAAAAAAAAA